ATGGTGATTTTGTCCTCGTTTTTGCTTATCTCACGATGAGGGGTGTGATATGGTTGCATCTTGCATAATCCGAAGCAATTAAACCGCGAACGCCATGCGAGAACCCGTGTAAACGCGATCCGAGTCGTGCCCTTACACGGATTCCTGCGCAACGACTCGCTCCCCCCCCCCCCCCCCCCCCCCCCCCCGAGAGGAGTCACGACGGAACCATCATCCCGTACGAGCACGCCGAGGCGCCACTGAGTCGGCCTGTCCTACACATGCTCGTACGAGGCGACGATAACCCGACCCGCGCTATCCCGCCGACGATGATATCATGACGCGATCTTGGAACTCGGACTCGTCCTACGACCCATACTATTTCACCCCTAATAACGACCTCATAAGGACACGATATCCCTGTCACACGGAGAATCGGTTATGTCCATGGGAATTCCACTGTGCCACCACTAGCGATCCTCGGTGTTCCGATTTCCCTTCCCCCGACCACACATACTACTTCACCCACCCGGGATTCGTTGAGATCACCACCAGTTTCCCTCCTTTTCGCCTCCTTCTCCCATATCATCAACTCAGTGTCGTCCCGTGGCCCGCCATAGCCCCTTACTGGCCCAATACGTTTTGCGTGAACTGCCGACGTAGCGGCGGACAGAGAACTCCGGAATTCCGAAGGCCCAACCTGGGCGCGCGGCGACGTGCGCCACGTGGCGGCCCCCGACGGCCTAACTTTTCAGGACCACCCCCACCACGGAGGGATTTCCCCGTAACCCGTCACCCATAGTGCCCCAGCCCCACGAGACCGTGAGTCCCTGGCGCACGCACCCCTGACTCGCCTAATTGCATTCATACCCTTAAGACTCTCCCACTTTCCCCAAAAATCCTTGGCACACCCCTTTTCGCACTTCCAAGCCCACATCCCACTCCGATCAGGAAGTCGTGCTGTGCGTGAGGTTGGTATCGGAGCTCGACACGTGGCTAGGGTCTTAGGATTGATAACACGTTAATTAGGCGACCTGGCTAACCGTGGGCGGCCTCGCCCTCGGAACGCATATAGACGCGACCCTATCGTTACCAGAAGCAGAGCGGCTAACCGACGAACAACCAATATGTCTGCCAACGTACAAATTCCGACTCCGCAGCAAAATGCTAATCTACCTAATCAACCTGCCCCACGTGCACGAGCTCCCATGTCGCCACCAGATCTCTATCTATTCGATCCGGCACACCATCTCGCAGGAGCATGGCTGGCCACGCTTAGAGCACAGCAGTACGATGGTCACGAAGCACAGATCAACATTCCGGCTCGAATGGGAGGAGACGCTCATCATTGGTATAGTACCTATGTATGGGTGGATCTCCCGACCTTCGAACGGGATTTCATGAACCGATTTGATTATGTTCATCCTGAGCAGGCATTGTACATGATCAAGGACCGAGTGCAAAAACCGCTCGAATCCGTTGCGGAATATCGAGACCGGTTCTACAGGATGTTCGTAAAAACTGAGCGAGGTGAGCAAGTAGGGAGAGATCTGTTCATTGACGGACTCCGCAGTCGAACAATAAGGACTAAGTTGCGAAAGCAGTTTTCCCTCATCACTCATACGCTACAACAAATTATGGCTGCCACGGAAGAAATGGAACGGAAGTTCGCAGCGAACTTCCTGGAAGGAGAAGACTACCCTAGAGACGGAGATTTGACCGAGCTCGTACGAGCAAGAGCAGAACTGGCTGCTTTGCAGAACAAATTTGAAAACATGGGATTTGTATCAGGACCTGTCACTTATATGGAACAGATAGGCCCCGAACGAGTAATCCTAAGCGAGACTCCGAGCATCTCTGCTCCTATGATGCCCCCGCCCGTCAGAGCATTACCCCCGCCGCCGGTTGAGGCTCCTGTACGATCAAACGAATCAGCGGCCATTTTCGAACTAACCAAAACTTTGATTAGTTTGATCCAAGAAAGCAAAAAAGAACAGCGAGAGCACAATGCTCGGCTGGAAATCATGATGAGGAACATGGTCTATTGCGGTGCGTGCCCCTCCGATGCAACAAGGATTAGCCCCCACCCCTGCTCTCGGAGGAGCTGCGAACAATCTAAATGTTTGCTACGCCTGTCATCAACCCGAACATCTAGCCCGTGACTACACCCACCGACCCCCACAACAGCGGACCGGAGTCGCACCTATGGCTGCGGCCCCCATCGCTGCGGCCCCCATCGCCAACGGACCTGGACGAGTCAGAGCCTTGATGAAAGAAGTAGAAGGTGGGGGAAGTGCCTTGACTACCACGGAAGAGGCCGCCGAGCTAATTCCGCTAGATCAGTATGTGTCGCTGGGATATCCTGGACTAGGAATGATCGGAACAATCAGACCAGCACCAAAACCGAAAGAAGTGGCAGAGTGGCGACCGTCCTTAGGAGAAATAGAGTCGGGAGGACCCACCTTCGTCACAGGAGAAATCGATGTATTAAACATTATCCAAGTTTTGGACCATCGGATTCCACTACCGATCGGTCATCTACTCTCGATCTCTGAGCAAGCCAATGAGCGAATGCTACAGCATTGCAAAGCAAACCGAAAGCGATTTGCCCTCGCCCGAACACCAAGTGTCAAAGCCAAGGGCCCCGTGCCGGAAGAAAACCCAACAAGCACTCCGGACCCAATACGGGTGGGATTAATTCAGAAAGACGATCATTTCTTATGGATTAAACCGATCCTGTGGAAGTCTGCAGAGTGTGATATAGAAATTTGGGGAATTCCTTACAACGCCATTATAGACTCGGTTGCAGTTGTGTTGGTCATTTCACTGAGAGTGGTTGAAAGGGCAGGCAGGAAAAACAATCTGATTATGCTCACCGAGAAAGATCAGTTCGTTTCGGCAGATGAGGAAAATATTAAAACTGTGGGGAGAATGACCAATGTCGCCTTCCGATTAGGGAAAGTACACGCGCTAGGGGATGTCGTAGTACTAGATGTTAATACGTACGACGTTCTTTTCGGACTTCCCGCTCTTGTGGCATTACGAGCAAACCTAGATTTCGAACGACGATCGATCATCCTCCGAAATACAGGAGGAAAACCTTACGTTGTGCCCATGCGATTGACCCTTCGCACTACTAATAACACGGTTCCGTGGGTTTCGCCGATGATGACAGGAACCCTCCGCATGATCTCCTGGGACAAACCCGCAGAAAGGGAGTCATCAACTGATGACGCGGAAAGCAGTGACGAGGACGACCCGGAGGTCTCGAAATTGGTATGACAACGCGTTTACTACCCGCCGCCCAAAACGATAGCGAGAACGATGCAACTGACCAGCCGAAAAATTCAAAGGACCAAGGCGATGATCTTAGGAGAGCCCCTTGTATAGATTTCGAGGATGGTCGACTCTTTGGAACCCCCTCAAACCCTGTACGAAGGCAGCACCCCTCTCCTCGCCAGGTACAGCGACAAAAAACATTTTTGCGACATTACGGAACTACCTAAGTCTATACTAACGTTGGCTAAAGAAGTGAGATTGTTGCGCTTGGGGGCGGAAGCAAGCTCTCAGGAATCCCCTGGGTGTTTTGAAGCAGAAAGAGATGAACTGGGGATAAAGATTGCAACTAAGGAAGTGCCATGGCAGAATGTTTGTGACGGGATTACCCCGAAAGGACACGTGGCCATTCGGGAAGAAGATGCCCAGATGATGGCCACGGTGTTCTCCTGGCGATCAGATCATTCATTCATCTCGGCGCCTCCACCCGAATTGACAAAACAAGCGAACACGAAACAAATTGACGTTCGGATCTGGAACCAATTTTTCGAACTACACGTTCCACAATATGTGCCGGAAGAAATCCACCAGGTAATTGAGGATATTCTAACGGAATACCAAGGAGCAATTAGTGTGTCAGACACTGACATCGGATTGTCGTTAGTAATCCAACATGAAATTCAGACAGGAAATCACTCCTCGATTCATTGCAAACCGTATCACTATTCCTTGATTGAACGCAAAAAGACTCTCGAACGAATTCGGAAATTCGAAGCCAGTGGTTGGATTGAACCCGCTACCGGACCTTGATCCTTTCCCGTAGTGTTAGTACCAAAGAAAAACGGGGCGATTCGCATTTGCATTGATTATCGAAAGCTAAACGAAATCACGATCAAAGATGTGTATCCCCTCCCCCGGATTGATGATTTATTGGATGCGATTGGGTGCGCTAATTATTTCAGCAAGTTTGATATTCGGCATGGCTTCCATCATATTTTAGTAAGAGAAGAAGATCGAGCGAAAACAGCCTTTGTGTTGTTTGAGGGCACGTGGCAGTGGGTTCGGTGTCCGATGGGGATTTACAATGCGCCTGTCATGTTCCAGCGAGCGATGAACATGACGTTCCAGAATTTCGTCAACAAAACACGGCTGACGCAAGGGATGATCAACTTCTGTGTGATCGTTTACATGGACGACATCCTAGTCTATTCGGAGACCTATCACGGGCACGCACAACACATCGAATGGACATTGGGTGCATTAAGAGCTTGAGAAGAGTGAATTTTTCCTCTCATAAATTTCGTTCCTGGGCTATGTCGTGACACGTGGGGGATTGCGGCCGGATTTGAGAAAAGTTGTTGCGGTGAAGGAAGCCCCGGTTCCCACATCACTGACGCAGGTTCGAGCCTTCTTGGGGCTGGCGTCGTACTATCGGCGCTTCATCAAGGGCTTTGCCGCGATTGCACGACCACTAACGAATCTATTGCGGAAGGACCAGGCCCTCACCTGGGACGTGGAGTGCCAGCAGGCTTTTGCAACTCTCAAGGACGCTCTGGCAATGACCCCTATTTTGATTCGACCGGACCCCTCGAAACAGTTCATTCTCATCACAGACTGGCGACCGGAAGCTATTTCCGCTATTTTAGCATAGAAGGGGAACGATGGTCGCAAACACGTCATCGAGTACGCGTCACAAACCGTACCGGACGAACGAAGAAACGACTCCGCACGTCAGGGTGAGTGCTATGTAGTAGTTTGGGGAATCCAACACTTCCATTCGTATCTCTACGGACAGAAGTTCCACCTCATAACGGATCACGAGCCTCTGCTGGCGCTGAAGAAACTCACCAGCTACACGGGCATGATTGGCCGTTGGGCGGTGCGATTACAAAAATACGACTTCGATATCGTCCATCAAAAGACAGAGCGACACGGCAACGCGGGCGGGCTGACACATCTGCACCGGCCTGCCAAGGTACCAAAGGGTGAGGAAATTACACCGTGGAAGGAGCCGGACTTGACCCACGAGCCGAAATACGGACAAGTGACAGTTCTTCCATGTGGCAAGAAGTAAAACGGTGACGATGGGTGATGGAGGTAACCCCACTACCCCTCTCTCTCCCCCTTCCTCTTCGTCTCTCCTCTCCCTGCCCGATAAATTCTGCTATTTTTGCGAAGCTATTTCCCGCGTATATTCGGTCCCCATGCGTCCTAACGAGGAGGGGTATGCGGATTGGATAGATTGCCGACAGTGTGTTGCACGAGCCCATGGCTCGTGCATCCAATACAGAAATGATAATAGACCATGGTTGTGCCCCTTGTGCCGGACCAACAAGATTCCTACCGAGGCTCGATTTTTGGATGCCACGTCAGAACGATTGGAAAAGACCCGAAAGTTTAGAAGGGCCGACGTATGGATGGATATTGCCTTAATTGCCACCCTAGAAGGTAACCCCCTCAAGGATTTCACCAAAGAAGATCGGAGGAGGGCCAACGAAAGAGCTCGGGATTATCGATGGGTAGAGGGTAGATTAGAAAAACGGAAAACGGACGGCAGTGGGATTTGGATGGTAGTGCCGCATCCGTTCATGCGGTATGACTGGGTTAAGACAGCCCACGAGGAAACTGCGGCTCATTTTGCCGTACGAATCACAGAGTGCGCTATCGACAAAAATGAGTGGTATTGGTCCAATATCCGCGACGATGTGAAGTACATCGTCGCCAACTGTCAGGTCTGCGCCGCTGATAAAGCACCGATTCAACTGCCAAGATCGATAGTGCCCACGGTTGTTGAACGGCCATTTCAAAGAGTGAGCATGGACACTACCGACATAGTGGTGCCCCCTGACCCTAATAGTTGCGAGTATTCAGTCCTGCTGGTATTTGTCGACCATTTCTCGAAATGGATCAAAGCGTATCCTTGTCGCACACGGCAAGCCACGAAAATCGCGCGATATGTCAACCATTTCCTCGGGATGCATCAGGATACGGAGGAAATCCTAACCGACAATGGGGCTGAATTCAGGGGAGAAGTGTTAAAGAATCTGGTCCTACACGGCGTCGCCATACGGAACACTGCACCTCACATATCACAGTCCAACGGGCTGGTCCAAAACGCTAACCGGGTGATAAAGACAGCGTTGCGACGAGACATCGCGGCACGGGATCCGAGACCTTGGCCCGATATCGTCGATCACATCCTGGCGGTCCATCGTGGAACGCCCCACGAATCGTCGGGGCTAAGCCCCTTCCAATTAAGGACCAATAGTGTCGCTTGCGTTTCGATACCGAGCCTCCCGGATGAGACTACATTAACCCGACGGCCCACCAGAGCCACGGCTCGGGACAAGGCCAAACGACACCTAGAGTTAATGGAACGGTCGCTGCCCAGGCTAGCCCGAAAGCGACAGAAAATGACCGAACTAGCCCAGGGCCGACAGGTCCGGAGTTACGAAGCCCGAAATGGGAATGCGGTTCCGCAGCCCCAGTACAAATTGGGGGACATGGTGCAGGTGAGGAAATGTGCTCGCCAGGGTAAGCTAGCACCAAGATTCTTCGGGCGATATCGCGTGATCGAGCTCGGCCCCAACGACGTGGACACCGTGCGCCTCGCCCCTGAAGTCTCTGGAAGTCGATCGGCTTGACTAATCATCCGCCACGTATCCCACCTCCGTCCCCCTCCTCCTTCTCCATCCTCGCCTCCATCCGATTCCTCCTCCTCCGATAGGGAAGACAACGACTATCTCTCTCCTATCTGTCCGTCTCCTTCTTGTTCTCTCTCTCTTACCCCGACACCATCGCCATGAGCTTTGCGACGGAGCAAGTGATCGGCGCGTGGCTTCTTACTCCGCGGGGGCGAATCAGTGTCATACGACAAGTGCAGCGACCCCATCTCTGCTCGGATCTCCTCCGGTTTGCGGCTTTCTTCACTACGACGGCAATCTACGCGGCGACAGAGTTTCGATTCGCAGAAGAAGCAACTACGCGCGTTCTGGCCGAGATCTCGGCCTTTCGACGGCTATCCCCTCCTGGGATTAGCCATATCGCTGTCGTTGTCGTCTTTACGGGGGATATCACAGTGATCCTGTCGGCGAATCACTCCGACATCTATCAGACGTTGCGCACTTGGGTTGGGGAAGTGAGGACGGCGTGGACGGATCTTCTGGCTCGACGAGGAGATACCATCATACCGGCGCATGACACGGACCTCCAGCTCCGCTCGTATCAAAGTTCGCCCGCGATCGTGCTTCCGGAGCTTCGTCCCTTCGAGCTGCCCCAATGAGTCTTCGTCGCGTCTCCTATTTCGGCCTCCCCTCCAGCATCCCCACCCTTTGGCAGTCTGCACGGGCTCCCACCCTCTCTTACCGTGTTAAGGAGAACAGTGCGCCGCTATTGAGTGAGGAGAAGTGGGACGCGTGGTGGGAGAACTATGTCGAGCTCGCTTTCTGCCTACTGGAGATAGAGTTCCGCTGGTCAGAGGCGGCCCCATTCGGAGAAGGACCGGAGAACCCAGAAAACAGCATGGAGTTTCTGATCGTCCAAGCCTAGAGAACAGCGAAGTAGGGCGATCTGCTGGGATTTCTGTTCGGGAAGGTGGAGGAGGGCAATCTCACATTGATCACGGACGAGTTGTTGGTGTTTTTGACTCAGCTGGCGGACGATCTGCCCCTGGACATCTTGTCGCACAGTGACAAGCAGCCTGGCACCCACGTGCTGTCTCGAATGCTCGAGCCGCACCTTGTGTGGTCAACGTGCACGGAAATCGACGAGGACAATTGTCTCTATGCCTCCCAGGCGCTCTACCTGGAGATCGACGTTACCAATCTCACGTTTTGGGACTCGATTGCGAGACAAAACGTGGCGCAGGATGAGGAGATAAGGAGAGCCGACGAAGAAGAGGAAGAAGAAGAGCTGTCGAGTGAAGAAAGGGACGATCCGGACTACGTACCGGATAAAGAGGCAGGGACAGTCGACGAATCAAACCAGCCGCGGGCGGAGGACGAGGGGCCGGAACCAGAAGAAGACGAAGGAAGCGGGCTATCAGGATCGGAGTGCGAAGGATTCGAGGCTGAAGTGCGCGACGCAGCGCGAAAACGAGCACGAGAGCGGAGGAAATGGAAGCACCAGGAAACCGCGGAGGGAAAGCGACCCGCAATAGACGTGCCCTCTGTCGATCCGTCGATCGGGGAACCGTGGCGTGATCCAGAGCTGCCAGAAGAGGAAGACGATGGAACCACAGCAGAGGGATCACGGAGCCGAAGAAGAAGAAGAAGTGAATCGCCAGCCCCCTCTGGCTCCCCGTCCTGATCCTCCCTTCGTCTACATTAAGATCTCGGCGTTCGGGCTTCGTCCCCGGTCGTTCTCTCGCCGACCCCGTGACTACCTCATGCTCACCCGCCTCCCCCATAGACCCCCGTTCCCCGATGGATTGTATCCCTTCCCCCATCACCTTTTCTACCTTCTCTACGCTATCCGCCTTCTAGTCTCCGTCTATCCACACGTCACTACTCGCTCTGTGGTTGATTCCTTTCTCCTTCATGTGCTCCTATTTAGCGCAGACTGGCGGGAATATAACCCCGTAGAAGTATACTGTATTATGTCAGGGACTATTCCCGGCTGCGAAAATTATGAAAATTTTCGCGCCGCCTTGCGACGGACCCTCTCCACCATCTACCCCGATTATATTACCACTTTTTGTCATCTTCATGAGTTCCCTCGTTTCCCCCGCATCCATCGCTCCTTCCACTACGCTACCCTTCCTAATTTTGCCTCTCCTGCCATCAATCGCTTCACGCCCCCTCTCCCCCTGAACCATCCGCCACCTCCACCCTCGATGATCCGGCTGCCATTCCCCGGGAACGTCTAAGGTCTAGAATCTACCCTCCTGTTACACTGATGCATGGTTGATGGCAAGTGTCGCGACGACGGCACGAGAAAGATCCCGCCCTTGGATCGTCAAGAGCCCAATCTGAGGAACTAGTAGAAGAGTAGAGTTGCCACGTTGCATGACACCCGCACGCAATCAAACTGTAAGTGGCATAAAGTGAAGTGCTCCGCGTGTCGATCGATTAGAGAAATCGATACGTGTCAACAAGCAAGCAGGAGCTTGCTAATATTGGAACCCCCTGGGTGTCACATATGTGACGAACCACTTTCTATAACGCGCGAGTTTCTGCGCGGTTGCAACAAGGGGTCCTAAGCTGGGAAGATTGGGCCAATTACAGGAAACCGGGATCAGTGGAAAATTGCATCAGTACCCTTGCTTCTTCATCTTTTTCGTCGCTTCTTCAAGGTTGGGTGTGTCTTGGGACGGCCGGCTGGGCGATTGCTCGGATGGATGTCTGGCGCGCCACCACTCGCGCGATTAATAAATGTTGACGTCGTTTCTTTCGTTTCGGGTTCGATCTTTTGGGCACGGACATCGCGCGGAAAACTGTTTCGTTCTTTTTTAATTTCCTTTTTGAATCTTTTTCGAATTTTGTCGAGCCCCGATGACTCTCGGGATTTTGGACTTTCTTTCTGGAATGTATGCTTTTTACTTTTCCGCACTAGATAGGAATTTAGAAATTCAATAATTAGGACTTTTTCTGCCGCACTGCGCCTTTTGTCTACGCGCTTTTTCATGCGGCTGCAATGGTACTCTGATTAGTGGGCGCCCTTAATCGTGTGTGTGACTGCAATTTTGGGTGGGCGCCATTGTAACTGTATCTTTCCTCTTGCACTTCGTCTCTCTCGCTCTCCCTCTCTTTCTTTTGCTGAAATTTCTGTAAGCCGCGGCTTGCATGCTCGGATCGATGCGTG